TCTAGCAAATGCTAGAGCACTCCCGAAGGAACAGGATAGTTCTAGAAATGTGGCATGACACTAGTCATGTAACCTCGCTGACGCAACAATAATTTGGCTGATAAGCTTTGAATTTCTTATATGTTATAGCTGTATTATCTTGCACTTTTCTAGATAAATAGATGTTTGTGAAGACACACCCTCTAGAAAAAAAACAAATTTAACAAATTTTTTGTTGAAATTTGGTAGGATTGATACGTTTGAGGAAATCAAGTAATGTTGAAGAAGATATTGAAGAAATGAAAGCAGAAGAAAGAGCAAATCAGCATGAAGTTAGGGTATGTTTTATTTTAACCACCAGGTATTACATGTATTTTTAATAATTCTTAATTTATATTCCTTTTCATGCAATTACTCTTGAAAACATTTGTTTAAAGCATCACATTAGATATAGATTGATTAAAACTACCATGCTCATGAATGATACTTTTTTTTCTGATGTGAATAACTAGGAAAGTTACAAAATACTTGTCCAATTTTAGAGTAGGCATCAAAATGATTTATGCAATGAATCCTTCTTTAGAAGTTATAAGATTTGTATAATTGTTTTTTGTAGATTTCTTTTGAAAGAAGTACCATTCTTCTTGGGGTATATGCATCATTACACTTGTACATATTTAACTGTGTAAAAAAATCAATAATTTATTTATCTTATGTCAACAAATCAGTAATTTTTTATTTTAATGTGCTAAGTATTATTTTAATATTTGATAGATCTATTTAATGTTAATGCATAATGTCTTGCAATTGGTTTCTTATTTCTCTTAGATTGAGAACTAACATGTTAACTATGCAGAAAGTCTTTCCTTCTCTCCACATTATATTGAGGAAATAAGTACAGAAGTATTCCTTAAGGTGTCTCTTTCTCTTCACATGATATTGATGGAATAAGTATAGAAGTATTCCTTAAGGTGTTTTTTTCCTCTCCACATGATATTTAGGGAAAACATACAGAAGTATTCCTTAAGGTGTCTCTTTCTCGCCATGTAATATTTAGGGAAAAAGTACAGAAGTATTCCCTAATGTGTCTCTTTCTTTTCACATGATATTGAGGGAATAAGTACAGAAGTATTCCTTAAGGTGTTTTTTTCCTCCTCATGGTAATGAGGAAATAATTACAGATATATATATATATATATGTGTGTGTGTGTGTGTGTGTGTGTATTTACTTACATGGTAGTTCAGTCTATACCTGATAATACATGTACTGGTGAAACTGTTGTTGTAGTAAATATTAAGTACCTTGGCCATCTCTACATATAGAGCCTACCAACTCTATGATATCTGTGAAATGTACAATTATCTTTATTTTTCTCAAAGCGATAAGATCAGAAGTATTTTTTAAGTCTTTCATATTTCTCTATCCAGGTGTTAATGATGGAATAAGTAAAAAAGTATTATTTATGGTGTTTGTTCCTTTCCAAATGATACTGATGAAATTAATACAGTAATATTCCTTAAGATCTTTATTTCTCTGCAGATCACAATGATGGAATTAATACAGAATAAGACACTACAGGTACCATTAATCATTGGTATTGTCATGCAACTTTCACAACAACTTTCAGGAATAAATGCAGTAAGTTAATTTTTTCTTAATCTACTTATACAAAGTGATCAAAGTTGTTGTTGTTAATGAAACTTTTCCTTTAATATGATCCTTGTTGTTTTACAGTGGTAAAGCTGTTGTCACAGGAACATGTACTATCAGTGATCAAAGTTGTTGTTATTGATGAAACTCTTCCTTTAATATGATCCTTGGTGTTTTACAGTGGTAGAGCTATTGTTGTAGAAACTGTGATGTATACATCAAAGTATATTAAAATAACATTTTTGGTCATTTTGATTTATCATAAAAATGTGCATGTGTGCATAACACAATATCAAAAATATTAGAATCTAAATAGAGATAGAATTGTAAAATAATAAAGTCTAATAAAGATCCATATATTCAAAGTTTAATTAATATATTTCAAGTCTGACTATATTGTGTGTTCTTCCTTTGATGCTGGGATATACTAATTAAAAGGAAGAAAAGCAACACTTCTGTTCACCATTATATATGATAAAACTTTGGTGGAGTGTTTATTATTTAGTGTATTCATATTGTGGTTAATCCATAATAAAGAACCGAATGTGAATCTTCCCAAGAAGAACATAAATCTCAAAAATTATTTACATCAAATTTTAAATAAAAATACAAAATTATATTCCATCAAAAATAATAACTTATATATCATTAAATGTGACATCATCTAAAGAATTGTGAATAGCTTGATTTATTTACAAGTTAAATATTTTAGCTATGATAATGAGATACAAATATGAAGTTGACAGCTCAGCAAACTTTTAAAAAATAAATAGCATCAACTTTATACACTATATGTATTATTTCTGTGGCATCCCTATGTAAAGATCCCCAGTAGGTCACTGGTTAGCTTAAGGACTTATAATATTAATCCAGGGTTTCATTCCCCAGAGTGGATAGAGTGCAGGTAGCCTACTGTGTGGCTTTTCATTTGAAAAATATACTTAACAACTGTCACATAGATACACAGGTTTTTACTTCTCTTCCCATTTATTTATTCTGGTTTCTCTCTAAAAGGATTATTAAAAGATCTTGCAATAACTTTCTGATATTCTATTGATAAAAGTAGGTAAAAAAATTCTCCAAAATGTAGCATAGTTCTTACATATATATAATTTTATTTTTCTTCTGTAACACTCATGGTAGCAGTTTTGTGTAGTATTGATCTGCACAATATTTATTACTAGTTTTCCTGGTTGTATCTTTTACCAACTGCTACAAATATCTCCAAAATTTCTAACTTTTGTAAAACATGTACATAACATTAGTATATTATATGTATAATTAAAGTTTTAATATTGTAGTATTTCTGGTTGTAATTAACCCTATGTGCACTAACAAAGTTCAGAGTATGCAAAGTCAGAGTTATCAACATTTGATGTTACCCTACATTGCTGATTTCACAACAGTTTATCTTAGAGTAGAGAAAATACCAGATACAATATAGAAGGATGCTAAAAAAAAATTTAATATGCATTTATGAGGCTGTAGTTGTTATCAAAATGCAATTTGCAAACTATACAGAAGTATTTTAATTCTGCACATGAACGACACTTGCACTCTGACTTCCTAGAGTCTGAGTAAGACTGATTTTGATATTTCACAGACATATATTTAATATAGAAACTTTAATAACACATCTGCTTTCTTGTGTACAACAGACTTGTAGTGTTGACTAAAAGATCCACACTTCATAAATTCGGAATTATAGTTAACATAATTTCTCCAGTATGGGGTCGGTCCATTGGATTGACCCTGTGAATATTCAGTTAAGCATTAATATGTGTAGTCCAATTTTATATACAACTGCTAATCGTTCTATGAGTTTCGTGAATTACAAGTGGAACATCATACACATGGTGATTTGGATTAATTAAACCTTTCTTTTAAGCCACAGCATAGCAGCTCATAGAATGACTCTGAGTTTGTTTTTTCAAGTACAAACTTTTAGCTCATAGCTCCTTCATTTCTTGACCGATTTGAGATCTAATTACCATTTTGGACTCAGGAGGTCAAACCCTTTCGATTGATATATTTGACCATGTCCAAGGTCTTATAGATTAATTTACTCTAATCCTGCCTAAAAGTATTTCAAGTGCTGTGGCTACTGAAGATTCCTCTTGTTTCGTAATTAAGTATTCTGGTATAAAGTATTACTAACATAATCACTTTAAACTGTTATGTTTATGTGTAAAATCTTGATTGATTTGATATAAAATAACAGTGCATAAAGGTGTAAATATAATTTTGGAGTTCTTGCTCAGAAAGAACATGTTGGAGGACCAAGGTTTATCTAAACATTTTAAATTAAGTAATTCCAGTGAGAGGTATTCTCTCAACACATTTTTACCTTTTGATGTTTTATAAATATACAGCCCCATCACCACATAAGTATAAGTTTCATATTTTATGCCTCTAGCAACAAACAAGCATTTTAATTTAAACACATTTTCAGTTCTAAGATATTTTTATTAACAATTTTAGAAGAGTTTTCATAACTTGTTGACAGTATTCTGTAAGTTACATCAGTGCAAAACTTTTTGATTCTTTCATGACTATGGAGTTCTAATAAAAATAAAATAACCCTTGTTCCCTAATTTTTGTGAATAGTCACAAAAATATATAGTTTTAAAAATTAAGGGAAGCCTACAATTTCAAATTATAAACCATTTTTAATCAACACTGAAATTTACTTAAAACCCAGTGTGTTAGTGGTTGGAGTAAAGCTTGCATCTATATGAAAAGACATTTAGAAATTCACTTTTTTTTAATGTAATAAAACTTGCAGCTGTTATATGGATATCTTCTCAACATCTTTAAACTTCTCCAGCTAGAGAGAGAGAATGAGAGATAAATTTTTTAACAGTTACCTTATTTTCTTTTGTAAATAATAAACCTTTAAATTTGTTTACAGGTTTTCTATTATTCGACGGGCCTTTTTATGTCAGCAGAGCTCTCCGAAAAAACATCGAGGTATGCCACCATTGGCGTAGGGGCAGTGATGGTGATAATGACACTTCTGTCTATACCACTGATGGACCGGGCAGGAAGACGAACATTACTCTTGTATGGTCTAGGTGGCATGTTCATCTTCAGTATCTTTATCACAATCTCCTTACTTGTAAAGGTAAATCACGCTTACAGTAAACCTCTAATTTATGTAAAAAAACAACAACTAAATAATGTGTACGTGTAAGTAATAAAATGAAAGAAAGAACTGTGTAGGATAAGACCAAATACAGGAGGTTTGGGGAATAAACCTCACTCCCCTAAATTTCCTCCATCCAGAAAAAAACGGAGAAAAAGAGAGAAACGGGAGGGAAAAAAAAAGAGCAAAAACAAGTTTTTATAGACAAGCAAAATTTGTTTTATATACATATTTATTTTATATTGCACATACATATTTTTTAAGTATTATGTTTTACCATATGTACTATACTGTATTTTTAAGTATTTTTGTTGTGGGGCTTCCACCATTGAAATTGTTAAAAAAATAATATTTCATTTTTCCAGAAAGAAAAAAATACCCAAAATGCTTAATTTAAATCAAGTGGAATGCTAGGAGTGGCAATGCTTTTTGTCATGATATAAAAGACTGTATAGTCTACATATTGTTGATTAATTTATTTCGTGAGTGAATATTTTATTATTGTTTAGTTTTTGTTATAATAAAAGTTAAAAGCAGATGATAGTAGGAAGTTGTGTTTATAATTCCTTGATGTTGAGACTATCGAACATCGTGTGCAATACATTGATGTCAAGAACATAGAGATTTCTAGAAGGTTAGCAGATGATTAATTGATAAACCTAAATAGTGTGAGATGAGGGGAACAGCAGACAGACAATAGCAGAAGTGAGTAAAATTACAGGCAAGGAAAAGTTTGGCATGAAGATAACTATCATAGAAGTGACAGGCCTAACGATTGACATAGGTCTAACATTTAATATGTTAGAGTAAGACTAACAGTAGGAAAGGAGATAAGAAAAATAATCTATTCCATCAAAGCTTGGTTATAAAGTAGTTGACTCAGCCTGAGTGCACTTTGACAAAAGGAACAGAGGATATTTAGAAGAAAGAAGACCAAACAAGTATGGTAACTCACACCACAATTGTAAGTGAATCACACACAGAATACTAGTGTGATAGCAATAAGAAGAATAGAACTATATATATATATAAATATAGTGTTTATGATATGCCTATAATCTCTATAGTGTGAAGACTTTGTTGTACATACGTTTAACTTGTTCTGAATATATATATATTATTTTGAAAACAAGTGAAGTGCGTGCTGTACATTTATCATTGAATTTATCACCAACAAGTCACAGACACTTACTGTAGAAGAATTCTAAGCCCAACAATAACACAGTACATATTTATACTATTAAGTGCAAGTAAAAGCTTTTTATTTTGACAATTGGAAAAAGAATTATATTTATAAATTTTAACAATTTTCATTGATTAAACATAAATTTGATCCATTCTTTGTTTTATCTCTTCTATAGTTTCTTTACCACTGGGTAACATACCTCAGTGTAGTTAGTACACTTGGTTATGTTGTCTTCTTTGCCATTGGTCCAGGTAAGAAGCTATTCTTTTTTTGTAAATATTCAAGCATACTGCATTTATTAGTTGTATATTCAATTATCTATCAACTTATTTGAAATGTTAGACGAATTTCATAAAATTAAAACAAGGTTAAATTTACAACCTAAGAAATTAATTATTAACTCATTTGATATGTGAAAGGAATGTAATAAAATTAACAAATGGTTAAATTTACAACCTAAGAAATAAAAATATAATTCACTGACATTTATTCAGTCATCTTAACAATGATAATGTTGAATGAAAAGAAAAAGGAAGAAAGCTTGAAAAATCCATCAAGAGCTTTGAACAATACATTTTTACATTTGAGTTTTGTCATAAATTACAGATATTTTCTATTTGAATCCCTCTTACATTTAACTTCAATTATTCTTATTATTATAGCATGAAACTTTAATCTCGTTGTTCAGTCTATAATTAAGTATACACAATAACTTATTGGATGAAGCAAACAAGCTTAGTATATGTATAGGTTTTGAGAGGAGTGGACGAGATTAATATACAGCAGTTACACGTCTCAATCCCTATTTTTAAAATATTTATAGTGATCACTGATGGGGTGGAGGGTGTTGAAGGTGTTAAGTCTGAAACCAAACTTCTGGGTAGTCTTATTTTGCTTATGGTTAAAATACACTTAAATTATCTGAGTTATGAACCTTATGGAAAAAAAAAACATATTTACAAAAATACCTAAATGTTTATTTATATAATTAAAATTCTATGGGTTTGTTTGAAGACTTTTTTTTGGCATTGAATCTTTCACTAACTCTTTGGGTTTTGTCAGTCTATGTTATATCATTCCTAATTCTCCAATTATCAATGCTAACTCCACACACAGTGCCTATACTGTGAGGTGTTACATGTCTTACTGTATTCTAATCTTTTATTGTTTTACATAATGACTTATTTAACTTTCTAGTATCTGTCCATTGTTTTAATTGCTGACTTTTTTTTAGTGTGAATTGTTTTGCTTTATTGTAGTACATTTACTGTCCACTAGGGTCCATTCCATGGATGATTACAGCAGAGCTGTTTTCCCAGGGCCCAAGACCAGCAGCAATGAGTTTAGCTGTTTTAGTCAACTGGTTTGCTAACTTTGTGGTTGGTCTTGTATTTCCTCTGATGCAGGTATGTTGCTTCTAAACTTCTTTGTAAATTGATCATTTGACCTTTAGACCATCTTATAACATTTTACCTTTCATTAAAAGTGTTGCAAAAACTGAATAATTTTGTAATGAGCTACATCTGTGATTAAGATACACATGGTACTTTGAAGTAGTCTGGTTGTACATTTTTTAGTGGAACAAAGGGATTTTAATCATCACTGTTTCAAATAAATCAAAATTTTTATCACTTAGGTAGCCTTAATTGAAAGAAAATTATCTTTAGAACACTAGAATAAACCAAATGTCCTGGTTTTAAATCTTAGTCAGGGTAGAGAATTATAACTTGAACACTAAACCAAATGTCCTAGGTTTAAGTCCTGTATATTGGCATCCAGCAAGGAGTACCATTACGTGATTACTTCAGTAATGCAATGTCACAGTCACTGTCATCTTTTGTTCTACTTATATTACATAGTTTGGGACAGGGTTCTGAACATACATTCATTTATCATATACTGGGATAACCATAAAAACCCATTTAAACAATCATTTGCTATTGCTCTTATATATTAGCAAAAAACTAAACATGTAATCATGCCATCACTAGTTAGCTTCAGAGCAAGGATGGCATGCAAATACTATACAAAAGACAGACTCATTACACATCCTGGCAAGATGCAGACAGACATTCACCATTTCAAATGTTCTACCCAAGTTTCTAGTCCTTTTGCTGCTACGTTTGACAACCAAGTGCTGTCCAAGTTAATAGTTAGAGCAAAATATTTTCAAATAAGCAGTAACATTTTGTTATTACAGTTTCGTTTTTCATTTGGCTGCAGCTTCATAAAGTTAAATATTTCAATGAATAGATCAGTTAATTTAGATATAAAAATTCTGTTTGTAATTTTCTGACTATACATACAGTATAGTAATTGTGAAATCACAACTATTTAATTAGGATTATATTAAAGATTTTATATGAAAGATTGAAAACAAAAACTTTGGGGTGGAATACTTTTGTTCACTCAGTTTTTCATCCTCTGTCTTTTATAAGAATACTAGCTCCACTCTATACACAAGAAACGTTAGATCTTAAACCTTTCAAAGGGTCTACCCCCATCAAATGATTACTATGAGTATTAAGAATTTCTTTTGAGTGTTATATTTCATTTAACATTTGATTAAACATAAAAATTAACTGTTTACTGAAGAATTATCTACTTCAAATAGAACTGTTTATAATTGACTTATTATTTGATTTTCTTTTTGTATCCCATACCTATTTCATACCATCTATAGGAAATGTTTTATAGGCCGTTTTTTTTTTCTGTAACATTCTTTCCATTGGTCGATAAATATGCATTTGTTTTAATTTCAGCAAGGTCTCAACGATTACACTTTCCTTCCATTTACTGCTCTTCTTGCGATTTTCTGGACCTTCACATACAAGAAAGTTCCTGAAACAAGAAATAAGACTTTTGAAGAGATTTCAGCCCTATTTAGGCGAGACGAGATCATCAATGCTAATGGCATGAACATACACGTAGCCAGAAGATATGCTCCAACTGGAGGACCAATAGGACCAATTGTGGATGAGAAATCTATTGAGTCATGTAAGACTAAACAAAATGTCACACATCGTTCTCCTATGCTAGATCCATACTTTGCTGAAAATAAATTAAAAATTCTATATTCTTACTGTGGACTTTTAACATAATGAGTGTCAAAGTTAGAATTTAGAAATATGAAATATATTGATAGTATAAATACAAAATAAGAAATGCGAAAGTTTTTCATTACTCTGAAAAATTATGGAGTAATGAAACATGGAAAAGTAAGAAAATCTAACATCAACACAGAATTTCCACTATTGTTCAGAATAAAATTTAAAATAATTTGATACAAAATTCTGCAACAGCAAGCTTGTAACTGTTACTAAGTCTAATTGAGAAGTTTTATTCATATGACATTATATATATGACAATAAAGCAAAAGTCAGCCCACCATTTACAATTATAGTATTTTTTCTAACGAGTTTATTGCCCATTGGTATGAATAACTTTTCATAAACATTTTTTTACAGAATTTTACTGAACATGGAAGAAATAATTCTTGAATCATAAATGATTTATCCCTTCCTGAACTTTACATTTAATGTAACATAGTGCATTATTACTACTAAAATGATTGTTTTTATTTTTATACTGTTCACTACATCTGTGGTCCACATATTGAGTTATTTTACGTTTTTGCCCAATACAATACTCATTTTAAAGAACTGATCAAAATATTGGATGTAATCCCTTATTTTCTATGTGAAAGGCATAGGTAACCCAAGTAGTAATTAGTGGGATTAATTGCATTATTGGTGGTATTTTTTAAATTCTGTAACCACAAAGCAATGAACCCACAAACAATTTGGTGGATAAATGATTTTGAAAAATGTGATAAAAAGCTGAGAGAGAGAGAGAGTCCAGTCAGTAATTTTAGGGTTACCTGTGGAATGAACATGAAAATAGAAATTATGCAAACTTTAGCAGATTAAAGTTTTTGAATCCAATTTGTAAATAACTGTTAGACTAATTGAGTTCAAAAAGCAAGGTTAAAAATGTTTTGTTGTTTTTTGGCAAGCTTTGGTTAGTGGATTTAAATCTTGATTCTTAGCTTTCCAAAAAGGGAAAACATTACCTGACATTCAGGTATTATTATAATTTATTATCCTAACTTACACCTGCTTGACATTCAAGTCAGTGATGGGTTTTGTGATTACTCACTCTTATATGATCATGCCACATGCAGTGCAATAAAGAAACTGGCACAATAATTTTTCACTCCAATTAACGTTACAGACTAGTACTGATTCTCTATCAAATATGTTCCTCGTTCTCTTCAGAAAGTCAGGTTTCTTAATATTCTAGTTGTAATCTTACAATAATTCATACCTTAGCTTAACCAGTGGTTAAATTGGGATTTTAAAAGTGTGAAACTTCCTTTTGTGATTCTCTTTGACTTTCCAGTCAAAGAACCAGGTATGCTAATGGCTTGAATCCTTGAAAGGTAGAACATGGTGTTCCAGACTATTCCAGCCCAATTTAACTACTGAACTTAACTCTGTGTTAAAGCTCAATTTTCTTACTTTCTTCTGTTTCTTTCATATTGTTGATGCATTTCAGTTTCCCAGGTTCATTCATAGCTTAAATTCAAATGATATCAAAACACAACTAAAAAGATAGGAAGCATTAAATAAATGTGTGTGTGAGCAGGATCAGGGGGATCGTAATGTAATAAATTGGCATACAAACAGTAAACTGTTACGCTGTAAAATGCATACTTGTCTTTAATATTACTGCAGTTGGAAGTTATATATTCCTGACTATTGATATGCAATGTGTTTATCATAATATCATGGTCATGTCAGGGTAGGCATCAATGTAGTGTAACTAAAAACCTAGAATTTACGTACAAGGAAAACCAAGTTGAGTCAAAACATATCTTGATTATTACAGACTCTCGCTACAATGTTGGTCAATCAGAAGGAATCGTAATCATTTTGTAATCATGCATTTTACAGTGTATTATTAAATTTTAATATTGAAAGTTATGGAGCAAATATCTATGTATAGCTGTATCATCTCTATGTTCTTGTTGACATTCTTTTTGGAAATGCCATCCCTACATCATTTTACATTTACAAAATATTTGTTTTTACTTGTATAAATTAGTATATTATGGGTATGGTGATATGCATTACATGTATTGGAGATCAGATAAGAGAAAGTAATATTTTTTATGATAATTATTTTATAAACTTGGGTGGAAATGAAAGAAAATACTAAAATTATTTTTCTTTGATTTTTGAGACAGTCTCTTACATAAATCTGCAGACCGCAAAAGAAAGTTGGTTTACAAATGACACTTGTATAATTATTTTCCTAAGCAGTTTCTTTCTGCAATATTCTTTACAGTGCATAATTTAATTTATGTATTTTTATTATTTCATTTTATTTGCATGATAGAGAAGTTTAGTACCAGCCAAAGTACAGGCTGCCATCCCTTCACTTGTGAAGTCCCATCGTAACATATTTGTCTGTGAGCATCTGGGTAACATGATGCTGTTCCTAATTCCAAACCACTGAAAACAAGGAGGCAACCAGCTAGGAATAACCATTTTTATTTTTTGTTTTATTATTATCATTTATTATGTATCATTTTGTAACACCAGATTCTCAGCGTAAATAAGATGACTTCAATAATATTACTTGTATTATTATACGCTTGGAGATTTTAGCACTGGCTCTCATCCCTCCAATAATCTCCTAAGATTTATTCTAGTAATAATGCCTAATTCAAGTTCATTTAAGTAGCATCTCTCATATCTACATACTTTCACGTGCGCTCCACCTTTATACTTCCGCCCCCTTTCTTCCATTCTTGCTGTTGACTAGTATGACTTCTGTTCCACCTCACCCCCTAGATTCTACATGATGTTTCGCTGATGACATCTTTCGGGGATCCTACTAGGTTGCCCAACAGCTACATCTTACCAGCTAGACTGTTTACTTTCACTTGAATGATATGCCGCTTTCGCTTAGAAATATAGTCCCCCCAGCAGTTCAGCAACAAGTCGAAGGCTTATAATGCTAAAAACCATGTTTTGACATCCGTGGTAGGCACAGCACAGATAGCCCATTGTGCAACTTTATGCTTAACAACAAATAAAAGCAAAGGAATATAGTTCATTATCAGTTGAACTTTCAAGTCTCCTAAATATTTTGTAATAATAACAGTTGCTTTTACTTTTAAGTGACATTAACAATATGTTTGTGAAGGTTATATTTTCTTTTCTTTTGTTTAAACTCTCAGTCAGTTTCGATTTCTGGGTTCATGCTTCAAATATCTTGCTACTATAAAAAAAAAGTCAAATACTATTTTACATCATTAGAAAAAGATGATAAAATATGCTTATGCAAATGAATATATTTCATACATAAACACTAAAGCATTATATATGATATTTTAATTTTAATATTCTATCTATTTAGCACAATGTTTTTTTTTCTGTTTTTTGTGGCAATGACATAACTAACATTAGACTTTCGTTTCTGGATGTATAAATAGACAGTCACCCATCTATAATAAATATTATGTGTGTGTACCAATTCAGTCTAATGTCATATAGAAGATTATGTGGTATCTTAGATTAGATTCTGGTATTATTTCTTTATCATTTTAAATAATTGTACGATTACAGTGGAAATTTACTTAACGAATTTTATTGGTAAACTAACTTCATTTCAAAGTTTCAAGATTTGCTATTTTACCGATTGCTAATATATTAAACAGTAAGTTTGTTCGTTTATAAGATGAATTTCGCTTCTGTAGTATCAAAGTCTTGTTTTAAACTAACTAAAATGCTTCGTTTCCCAGATGGCACCTTCTCCCGTGTTGGTGGTGGACTACTGACTCAAGACCATCATCTTTAGGCTACAATTTTTTCTTCTCTTCTTAGCAATATCTAGGAGACTTTCAAGCAATAGGAACATCTTGGCTTTGTCCCTACATCAATAAATCACCATGTGTTTATGCTATTTTGGTGACTTAATTCTGGCTGTGTAAAATGCCTGGCTAATAGTCTGATTGTAGCTAGCCTGTGTAGTGTACAAAAACTAAACATTCTGAATAGGCAAATTAAGGTTTCGTATCTTGTGGCGATGGAAAAAAAAACCCATCAAAGACAACATAAAATCTACCTGAAGTGACACTCCTTCCGCTTGTAATTCATGCTTTTCAAAGAGCTCGTAACTGCTTCATCGAATTACTCTTACTTAATTAACTCTAAACAGCTAAACATTTTCTATCAGTTATTGCGATTAGAAAGGTTGGGTTTTGCGATGATGGATGAGCACAGAGTTATTAACTTTAATGAAGAACTATGTACAATGTACCAAAAATTGTGTATAGTAAGGAATGTTTATTGTTCCGTTTAGCATTAACAGCAAGTAGTTACATTATTCTAATCAACCAATGCATTAAGTAAATGTGTTGTTATTGGTACTTACATGTATGTTTTGGAATATTTACTTTCTGAAGATATCTTTTTTACGGTGCTATGCCCTATGACATTTATACATTTCTTCGAATGGGCTCGTTGATTTCGTTTAATTTTTTTTTAATATTTTATACAAAATCTAATGTTTAGGACCTAGTTTGGAAGTTATTTTTATTGTTTAAGGAAAATATGCTGATCTACAGCAGCGAATTATATGTACATACTTGTGATCGAGTAATACATATTAATGTGCGTAGAGACCAAACATAGAACGACTAAGTTACTCCAGAAATGTTATTTTTTAACGATGCATGTGACAGCATGATAAAGAAACAAAGTAATGCGACAGTCAGTTCTGAATTTAAAATAAGATTTCGCATTAATGTAAAATTAGTGTAATATTTGAAGAGGCAAAAATCAAAACTCACCTGAAATTTTCATCTAGCTTGTATTCAGAAAGTGTTGTTTCACTACCTTTCTCGCCAAACGAAATTCAATATTTCAGACAAAGTAGATTCTGTAGACTAGTGTGTGTGTGATGAGCTTGTTATCATCAACATAATATTTTAGTGTTGTTGTTTTTTGGTTTTTTTTCGTCAGAAAGCTTCGGCTGCTTATGATATCAGAGTATATTGAAAACAGTGTGCAGTAATACAGGATTTATATCTATAAAGGCCGAGCATGGCCTAGTTGTTAGTGTGCCCGAATTGCGAATCAGGATTCATTCTTCGCGACCCGCTCCCGCAAAAATGCGCTCCTCATCTTGATGCCATGAGTACTCTATAAGAATGACGATCAAATACAACTATTCAATCATACGAGAGTGGCTTAAGAATTGATAGTGAACGTTCGTTGTTTAGCTATTCTTTCTCTAGTCTACTACTACAAAATTCGAGACATTTATGAACACACAGCCCTTGTGCGAAATTCAAAAACGAATAAACATTTCTTTCTAGACTAAGCTAATGTCACTCCCTCCAAACACCTGCCACCAAACACACGAATGGTTACTTAGGGTAATCTCCTTTATAGAAGATGTAGTGTCTATTCCCATCGAAACGTGGAATGTGCTGAATGGTTGTCGTTTTTCTTCTTGTTTTAAGTCAGAATTGAAACTTTCTGGGAGTTAACAAGTCCGGTCAATAAGGTAAACATTGTCGACGATTACGAATGACCTAATATCATTATTCGCTAACTTTATGTATTATTAACGATATTAATCAATTATCCCATAACTGTTTCAAAACTACATATTTTTCGTAAGTTAAGAAGGCACCTTTTAAATGCAAACCCTAACATATTTTTAATTCACTGAATTTTTAATTGGACCGTGACAATGACCTGTTTATTTTATAATGTTACCATATATCCTGGAAAGTAGGTATAATTATTAATAAAGAAAAACATTCATTGATAAATACAAGCTCTAGTTTATATATATACCTGACGGAGTGTTAGATGGCATGTAAGATGTGATTCAATAGTTAGCTTGAAGGCTTATTACGCTAACATTGAGGGCTCGATATCCGCGGTAGGAGCAGCGCAGATAGCTCATTGAGGAGCTTTGAGCTTAATATCGTACATACAGACACACACATACATATACACTCATTAATTTAATTTTTAAAATTGTATAAACACTGTACAGTTATTTCTAAGCAAATTGTATTACCTTATTGTAAATTCAGTAATGACCGTTGCACTTTGGTAACACAGTGGTGTAATTATATCATGTTTCAATAGAAAATTTGGTCAAGAAAAGTGTCACTTCTAGAATGATTTTGTCTTTATCGTAAAATCTTTACACGATCTTGTGAAGAAAAGCATATAGCACTTGTTTGTTTACACGTTAACCCTAACAGAAGTTAAAGATGACCATATAGTATTTGTTTCTTTACACGTTAACCCTAACAGAAGTTAAAGATGATCATATAGTATTTGTTTGTTTTCACGTTAACCCTAATAGAAATTGAAGAAAAGCATGTGGTACTGATTTGTTTACACAAGTTTCAACATTTATGCAAGACACTCAACTGAGTTTTCAGTTTCGGGAATATTTGAACGCAAAAAAAAATACATATTTAAAGGGTATAATCACATGAGACTTTTATAAAGTTTGTTTTGAGTATTTGAAAGTTTAGATTTTTTAATTCTAGTCATGGGAAACGTTAGTTTGTTAGTTTTCTTAACATCAAGGAGAAAATCGTCAATAGTTTTATTATTGTTAGGAATGCAGAAACATTTTGCTTTTATTGTGTGTTTTCATGAGATATCAGTCAGGGAGTTATTCTTCACTTTTTCTTCCGCTGCACACAGATGTTTATGATAATTATATTTTTCTAAGTCCATTTTCTTCAAAAAAAACCTACATTTTATCTTTTCCCTGCAAAGTTTACAATCAGAACCATCAAACACAAGTTGTTTTGTTGGGGTTTTTTATTCAACCTTTGAACTGGATTTTCTCTTTCTACTGTATAATACGCATTTAACAGTCTGTTTGTAGTTAAAATTTTTTATAAAGAACCGTGATTCCAAATGATATATTTGGATGAAAATTTTAGTTATGATTTTCAACCTATCTTTTTGCTTGATAAACTTATCTGTTGTGTAATGACATAACAAAATCGGATGAAATAAGCTTAATTACGACGTAACAAGATGATATTAATGGAGTGTTCTAAAAATGATGAACGATGAATTTTGTTTACTTGGCGAGCACTTAGATTATTTATTTACTTGCTCTCTAGGTAATGTTAAAAATACAGCAATTTCCCTTAGGATAGATACTGTGAATTGATATTTCCCATCTCCGAAACCTCACCTTATTTGGTCAGTCGTTTACAGAATATTTTCTATCTGTGTAACGAGAAGGTTTTGTATACTGCATGACATTTTGATGTCAGTTGACACTAACGTATTCTGCCGAAATGTGATGATATTATTTCATTGTTTTACTTCTACAGCAGATATGAAGTAGATATTAGTCCTAACATAGCATTATGGTATCCATAGCTTTGCATTGCAACGTAACACCTACAATAAAAATACTTATCAATTTTGTAAGTAAACTATTAAAAGGACGGTATGATTAAGGCATTAGCAAAGGAGATATTTAAAACTTCTTAGTTATTCAAATGTTTTGGAAATTACTTGACTTTCACATTATTAATTGCATGTATTGCGGTGCACTTCCTGCTTAGCCAACGAAATAGTTTATAGAAGTAATAGTTTTGTTTCTTCATACAGTGATGTTCAGAAACGTTTGAATTATATTATTGAAATTAATTGTTTATTGTTATTATTTTTGTTTAGGGGCTCTAATACTAAACAAAAATTAACAGGTTTCATTACTAGATTTACGTCATCACAACACTGGTAACAGGTATACTTAGTGTATATTGGTAACAATCTTGGGTGACTACTTTTGCTAATTCTAATCTTTGCTCAACAATGAACTTACCTGTTTCTGAGGTTCTATGATCCTTCATATTGTATGTTACGATAATCGGTAGAGAAAAATGCCACGAATGATACAATCGAAAGAAATGGTCATTTTTAAAATGTGAACGCGTAGTTATTTCGCCAAGTAATATTTAACTCCTATGCAACTATGAATAATTATCTATGGCGATTTAGCAATTAATACTGACGTTTTATGTTAATGTTGGGGACCGGATAATGTATGAAATGTTGCTATCTTGGAATAATTACTTGTGAAGCACTTTATGAACTGTGTAAAAAAGAGTGTATTTTTTAACTACTTCATCATCAGGTAAGTAGTTCATTTCTTTAAACCGATGCGCGCCGAATTAGAGAACATGGATCCTTCAGTTCTCAGAAAAGGCAACATTTAATGCCAAATTTCAATATCTGTAATACCAAAACACAAATTGAAGAAAGAAAAAGGCCACCTATGTCAATAAATATTGTTCATTAAAACACCTTTAGAAATTACTTCTTGATCAAACAAATCTCGTTTATTAAACCTTTTCTAAGGAATGGGTTTTTTACCTTAATTGTAAAAGAAAGGAGCGTTTTGATCCCTTTTAAAAATGAAAATGTTAAACAATCACTATATAGTGGTTTTCGTTAAATATTAATCTCTAAATTGCATAACTAACAGATATTTGAAATTAATTTCTTTAATGTTGTTTGAACGAATTAATGTAGTTGGTTTTGGTTTTGATATATTGAGTATTAAAGTGTCACCATTTCCCTACTGACTCAGCGGTAAGTCTGGTTCTGATACCCGCGATGGGCAGAGCACAGATAGCCCATTGTGTAGCTTTGTGCTTAATAATAAACAAACAAAATTAGTGGCTTGTGCATCAAATTAAGATGACCTTTGGAAACTTTTGTTTCGTGTGATATAAATAAATATTACATTTTTGCGTTTTTCTTTTTTTTTACTTCTACAGTTCTTCATTCATATTTAGTTTTGATTGCAGATTTAGATTCATAAGTTTTTACTGTTTACTGTGAAGGTGAGTTACATCGCTTCCATCATTGCTGGGAAATGGATGAGTTCCAGCATGGTGAGAAAATAAGGGAGCAAACCCCCAATCATATGGAAGATCGGGTCTAAGAAGTAAGGCAAAATGTCGTTTCCGGGTCCCTCACGTGCCTCCTGGCTCTACCATCAGGTGATTAGATGTGTTGTCAATGGTACGAGATGTCAGTAGCTATGTTATTGCTTATATATCGTTGCCAATGGGAATAGTTCCTAAATTCATTTTTCTGTGTGCTAAATTGTTACAGCATGTTGGAATGTATTTCAATGAATTGTATTGCATGTTGGCAAGCATGGTTTTTAGCTTGATATTGCACGCTTACAAAACATGAAACTGGTATTGTTGTTGTTGTTGTTTGTTTTAGCGTATTCGTTTGAATTACTGGCGTTACCATGAAGCATTAGTTACAAAAGCATGTGTAGGTTTATCCCTTAATAACGGTTTTTGTACAACAACAAACAAACAATTTCGTAATTTTAAAACACCGTGTGATCTGTAACTCGGAACCAGTACTCTCTATACACGTCCTTCATCGTCATTGTTATTAAGAACAGTCACTTTTTCACGAGGATTTTTAAGAAACGACCTTCGTCAACTGGTTAAGCAAGCTCTTCAGCAGAACTCCTAATCAACTATTCAAAGCTGAAATTTTAAATAACCCTAGTTACAAAAAAGTATTCCTTCTCCGAGTTTAAAAGGAAGTAATACAAACATCACTTTGTCCGCTAAACGAAGATTAACATGCAATGTTTTGAAAGAAATACTTAATGCAAAGGATCCTGATCTAAATGAAAAAGTTCAAATTTCCAAATTAGAAAATCCTGCCCATACCTTGCTGACTTCCTATCATATTCGTAGCTAAAAAAAAGATATGAATTATAACTTCTGAGTCACAATCCTTTGACAAGCACCCACCCAAGTAACTGAATATATTCGATAGGCTTCATTCAAGTGAACACATTCGATAAGTTTGATCCAACTAAATATTCTTGATGGGTCTGATTTAACAGAACATATTGGATAGACTTGATCCAACTGAACATATTCGATAGGTTTGATCCAACTAAAATTTCTTGATAGGCCTGATTTAACTGAACATATTCGATAGTTTTGATCCAATTAAACATTCTTGATAAGTTTGATCCAAATGAACACATTCGATAATTTGGTCCAACTGAACACATTCGATAGATTTATCATTGAACTAAACAATTGGAATTAACAAAGTTATAGAATAATGACGAATAGTAGCTACATTCGAACGAATGGAATTCAAATATTTACCCTTCTGAGGTAACACCATTTCAACACACTGGTCACCACACAGATAGCTGAAACATAAGCCGTTACCGCCTGGTAATCATTACTTTCTTTTTATTAGTTCTTTAAATGCTCCGTTGCGTGTGTTATTTTTGCATCACTAGTTTAATAAGCACATTTAAAATTGATCTTAATAGCTTTTTCCTTGCATATAAAAAAATGCTGTTTTTTTACTTTGTTGCTTTTGCAACTTTCATTTTTGAATATTTTTCGTTTCCAAAGATACATCATAGATTACAATAGCTTCATCATTCATGCTGCAAGGATCAGCACGTTTTCTGGAAGTCTTATGAAAGGCAGTGAATTATATGCATATGATGTAGATTTAGCATTATGGTTTTGTTTATAAATATTAAAGCACGGAAAGCCGCTTCTTTTCATTAAAAAGTTTTTTTTTTAATGTTCAAGAGGAGAAAACCGGTAATGGATGCAAATTACCTAACTTTTACAACATAAAAATGTATCAAAATAAAAACAAATATTTTTTTCAAAACTTGGTGAGCCATTGGCGGAACTTTGCTAGTAGAAAGAATGTATTCCAGTCATCACTCTTTTGAATGTTAATCAATTGATTTAAGTACAGTTTTGCGACGAGTCATTTCTAATACAAGATAATTTTTTAATAGACCAAATATTGTACAGTTTTGTTTATTATCTAGTGATAGTTAATACAATTTAATTAATCGCGTGTAAGTAAAGCTAAACATTTTGAAGCTCCACGAAAAGTATGAACTGGTTTTACGAGAAAGTTTTAGTAGTTGGTTTTACAAAAGTTCGTTGGTTTATGGAAATAAAGTTAACTGTAACGAACGATTTTAAGATATCTTCTGGAGTGTCTACAAGATATATATATATCAACATTGTTTTGTCTGAGACTGATTCAAAACTTGATACTTCAGAAAATGAGAAATTTCTGACCAATTACTGTGATTAAATGACGCATAACGTGATATATTTACCACTTAAAACATAAGCTTATTGCCACGACGTTCGTTCTTCTTCAGGTGCATAAAAGCCAGATCCAAAAGAAGAGCGTTCTTCTCGAATCGTCAGGCCGGTACATAGTTTCTTGAAATGGTAAAGATATACCATACTGTTTTGTTACTGCATGCCATTTTCTAGCAAAGCACTTTTTAAAAAGTTTTCTTGTGTTTTTTCCAGTTATATTTTGCATCCATTTCCGCAAATTTTCCTCGCTTTTAGCATATATCAATTACTTTAACGCTATTGCACTATTGTTAATAAGCTTGTACACTGTTATTAACTTCTGGGTCTGCTGACATCTCGGAAAAAAAAAGGAGGGGTGGGGGCAAAAGAAATGAACAGTTGCTGTTTTTCTAATATAAAGTACTAGCCCTTAAAATTGCTTTTCTGAAATGTTTGATACATAAGTTTGTCAGGCTGAGAGTATAAATTCACTATCTACTTATTTTATCAATTGCCTGATCACTCTTGAAGCTTGTAGAGGATGAAATAACATGTTAACTCCCTCATCCTATGTCACAGCTTGTACAAAACTGCTTCCCCACTAGGTGCTAGTCATATTTATATAAGGTTTCGTTGATTTATGTGTATTAAGTTTGGTTTTAGAATTTGATAGCAATCTTGTGGATTTTATTTTGAAGTCAATAGTTGTATTCAATGGAGTGACGTCATGTCTGTATCTTTATAGTGCCCTTGTGATGTCACGTGATTTTGTGGCGTGTAAAGAGTATTGTAATTATACAAAACTGAAGTACTGCATGTACGTTAAAACACTATCTTCAGTAGCACGCAATAAACCAAGTTCTGTACCGTTACCTTGTGTGGCAGTTTGCTTTAATCATTGTACATTGAATAATACAAAGTAATAGTAATAAACTTGTGAAACTCATTGACTTCAGTATTTTTACTGTATCATTTCTCACGGAGTCTCTTTAAGACGCTATACGAATACAGGGTGACTGTGAATAAAGCATTTTGTATCGAAGAATTACTCGAATGAAACAAAAAGTTGGAAGATAATTAATAAAATTCAAAAATGTAATAATAATAATAACTTAAAGAAATGTAGTAACAATTTATCGAGTTAGTAAGGCGTCATGCTAGGCTTTAGTTTACGTGTTATTTGAAAAAAAGGACAGTGAAATAGATACTTCATATTACCAGTTTGAAACGTGCCAAAATTTAGGATCTAATGATTAATAAATGCCTACGTCTTAATTAGCAAAGTTCAAATATTTCGACTCATCAGCGCACTCTGATGGTCAAAGACACTTAAATACACGTACCTATAAAAACCTTGCTCAGAAAAGCGTATCGGGTGGTAAATACTTTGTTCATACTGGAGTTAATGAAAGCCAACAAAAATTAAAGCGTGTAATATACAGTGTTCAGTTTATTGAAATATAGTAGATTCGTAATTTCCGTATTACACAAAGTCGTCAAGATTTTTATTTTTTCGAAATCAATAGGTTTTAATAATAACCAGTGGTTTAATAACAGGAACAGATTGAAGTAGAGTCAGTCCTACTACGCTGTGGATCGTCAGCACCTTCATCGACTCAGACCAGCTTCAAGGTGGATTGCTAGCATCTGGGGTAGGTGGAACAAAACAGTGGTAGAGAAGAAAAAATTACAATTATTGTCTAATGAAACAGTGCAACATACACATTGTGCTATGTAACTAGCGCCATCTGCTAAAATGTTGGAAATAACTAACCGAAATACCATAAACTATGTAGCAGGAGTCGACCGAAACAAAAATATGGTGTGTTTCATTCTATTTATCCATTTCTCAAGTAAATCAAAAACGTAAAAGTGTAGAAGAAAGGATAAAAGCCTTATAACATAGATAACTGTCGCAGCCTACTACAATTCAGCAACTTGAAGACTAGTAATTCAATCAAAGAGCCTTCATACAAACTAAAGTGAAACTTATTTTCTTATATCAGGACGGTACTCCTTTTTCATGCCCATGTTTAAACTAAAAATTTTGAAATATATTTCTAAACATTTTGTCAATTTTTCCAGTAGATGCTCCAAATGGATTTCAGGTATCTGGGGTTAAAATCCTTAAAAAGAAGGAACACGAAGAAAAAATTCTCTGTTGATTCATTACTGATCTTTTAAAGATCGCATTAGTGTATTTGTATTATATACAGATGATGAGAAATGAGTTTTGATTTACTTATTCATAAATTATTTTTATTGTTATTAACCGTGGTTAATAGTTTGTGCTAAGTTATCTTTAGTGTTTACAATAGCAAATTAAGCGATTTGTATTCTGAAGTAGTTATGAGTTGTATTGTGTCTAACAGTATTTAAATTTTAAAACGCAAACGGGCGTAAGATCAAATGATATATATGTTCAAATGGAACCTTTTTTTTAAGCAAACCAATAAATGTTACCGAAAGGCAATTATTACGTCAGCAACAAAGGTACTTAAATTTGTTTTCGTTTCTTTAACTCCCCCCAGTGGCACAGCGGCATGTCTGCGGACTTACAACGCTAGAAATCGGGTTTCGATACCCGTGGTGGGCAGAGCACAGATAGCCCTTGTGTAGCTTTGTGCATAATTAAAAAAAAAAAAACAGTTTCTTTAACGCTTAAGTATTTTGGAAATGTCTTATGAATCTTAGGTGTAAATTTATAATTTTAATTATAAATTTATTTGTAGGTTTTAGACGTATAATTAACCCTTAACTGATACCTTCTATTGTCTAACAAATCCAGTTGTTAATTAGAAACAACTTTAACGTCAAACTCAGAATAATTTTTTTCTGGGTTAAAATTCGTGTAGACCTAACCTTCGGAATTGTTGTTTTAGTATACGTTACATTTAAAGGCGGTGTGAAATGCAGGTAAAAATAAAGAAAAATAATTTTAAAAAAAAACGATATACTGCTGCAAACACCATACACACAACACTTTGGTTTCGCATAATAAATAATAATACAAGTTTCGCCTCAAGTCACTACTCTTTGAACTCCACAAACACCATCTCGCCCCTCCACCACCGAACAACCCCCATTTGTGCTTTAAACACTGAATATAGCTTCTTTTTCCTTTTGTTGTGTGTGTGTGTGTGTATCTATGTATGTGTGAGTATTCACTGTTTATCAATCAGTATAAGTATTGAACAACACGAATAACTTTATTAATTAAATACATATTTTGTGTAAACATTTAAATAAAAAGATCTATCGGATTCCAGTTGACGAAAGTTGGGAGAGGATTTTTAGTTCCAGAAAACAACCGTTTTAACATTATTGGGGCTACAATGTAGGATGTAGCTGGAAGGAAATAATGTCGTTGACTAAGTCAGGCAAATATCAGAAATTGTACCCACGCCTTTATATTAGTAGGGGGGGGGGGTAATCCGGATCTGACCCGGAGAGATCCAACAGAAATAAAGCATTGGCCATACACTTGTTTACTCTAAATGATACGAATTACGTGTTTCGAGTGGTGAATTGAGAATGCGCACATTTTAAAGTTGATTTGCATATCATTATAAGCAACACTTAAGATGTATTATAAGTTGAAAAAAGTGTAGAGAAAATAATTAATAACAATCTCATTCCATCTTTATCCTTTTCATCCGAGCATTTAGCTAACGTAAACATTTTATATTCCATTAACTTGCAATATCATCCCTTTAAATTCCATTAACCTGAAAAATCATTTTATTTTTCATCATCTGACGTTAGTTGATAATGCTAAATTACTACACAGATGGCAGAATAATTATCTCTGCTGCGACATAAGTAGACCTATAACTTATAAGGAGGTTGAATAATATTTGCCCCCCCCCCACTCACACACACACACACACACCAGGATTAAACTCACTAGTGTTGTGCAGGTAAAGAATTCGGTAAATCATAACAATGAAAATATAAAAATATATGCTGGAGGGGGGGGGGGGGGAGGGGGCCTCTTGTTGGGGGGGGGGGGGGGGGGGGGGGGAGAGGGCCTCTAGTTGTGTAGGGAGCGTCAACGATTATCGTGCCAACCCTATTAACATTTGGGCCTTTCAAGAGTTATAACTGCATATTTGGTGGACTCCTGGGTCACAAAAGTGTTAATTTCGTATATCTTACGAGTGAGCCTATACGAGTATGGACTGGGCATCATTAGACACACCCATGGGCAGAAAGTTCAATCAATGTTATGTATCTGAGTTGGGTCAAGTGGGCTCGTGAGACAGCCACTCCGTATTACCCACCTATATGTACGGCACTGCAAGGTGTTAAAATTATGAAAAATCATGACTTTATTGAAATTAATCACCAGCTATGAACATCTTCCAAATCAATATTTCAGGGGTTAGTGAAGCTTGAGGATTATAGTGTGAAAATCGTCGCTTCTTTAAAACACAAGTACCATAGCGAGTCAGCGGTAAGTTTAAACTTACAACGGTAAAATCTTGGGTTCGATTACCGGCAGTGGACGGGGTTCAGGTAGCTTTCCACCATAGGCCAAATTTTATTATTTCCTTTATAAC